GGATATAATGTGTGAAGTATCTAGGCTGGGGGAGATCATCAGAGCGACCAAAGCCAAAAACAGCGAGCAACCAACATATAGTCTAGACCAGCATACAACACCCATGGACTGGCCCCTGGGTGGTGCGCAGGCAGTGTCTGTAATAATACCATGCATCAGCCCAGGGGAGTGTGTGTCCAGCCGTGCGTCATACTAACACCCTGCTGGTGTCCATGTGCAAGGCTGCGGAGTTTTGAACCCGCAACCTCATACCACAGTGCGCACTTCAAACCGACGCTCTAACCACTGAGCTCCGTCAATTGGACTTCTTCTCCTTTCAGGTCCCACGAGATCCAAGCTCGGGTCGTGATTTCAGAAGTCCGTGGCTATGCCACGTGACAAGACCATCGGCTTATGCCAACAGATGAGTAAAAAAAAGAAAATAGAAAAAAAACTTACCTGATGTTCCTGGTCTTCTCTTTCCCCCCCCATCAGGGACTGCTCATCCTTCCTAGGATTCATTAGTGTGCAGTGGGCCGTCCAGCTTGTCCCCAGAGCCTTTCTTTCCAGTTTTTTCTTTTTCTGGCCCCATAGCCTTGGGGTGAAAGAGGCCAAACCTTCTTCTTGTGAAATCACCACTCCTCTGAGTACCACTCTGTTCTCCCCCAAATCGGGCTCCCTCAAAATGGGAACGCCCCTGCAAAGGGAGGGCCCCACAAAGGAGAGAATCACTGTCATCGCTGTCCATGTGGCATTTACCTAGTGCCAGGTTTGTCCCACATGTGTGCATGCTGACTCAGCAAGAAGGGCGCCGTGGTCTCCACATTCCACCACTGCGTTTGTTTGCCCCAGCATATTTTGCTCTTTGGATAAAGCGTTTCGCCCCCGTTCTGTCCTGGCACTTGGAAATTCAGCCAAGACGGGCTCCCTGTTTGAATGAACGCTATGTGCAGGTGCATGATCGGTACCGGGCCATAAAGATGTCCAGGTATGCTCTCGTGGGGCCAGCAGTCCAGTTCAGGACGTTCACAATGACCTCTCCTAAGTACAGGATCCATGGAAAAGTGCGCTCTCGGAGTTTTAGATCCCCACACTGGACCCGGTTTTCAGCAAAGTTCAGCTTGCCACTGATAGAAGGGAGCTATCCGCCAAGGGATACTCTTGAGTGAACCAGGACTTGATAGTAATGCTAGATCTGGCCTCCAACAATGGATGACGAGGTGCTGATTCACAAGTTACTATTTGAAATTGGCCACATTCTCATATTCTTAGGGTCTCGTTAGACACTCCTAAAAGTGCCAGTTTTTAGGATTGCTTCGTGGTTGCACGCATTCCTAAATCCGATTTTGAGATCGAAAATGTGAAAACGGCCTTAGGACTCGTCCTAAAGAATTTAGGATTCCGGGGTCCGGCGGTCTCGAGACCCAACGCCTCGGTGTTACCGAGGAAGACCAAACGCGTTGACGTCAATACCGGAGGTTGCTGGTGAGTCAACCAGCGATGGATTTGACTGACATGGCAGTTGAAGGTGCAGGCGAGAAGATGGCTTCTCGTAGTCAGCGTGAAGAAGGCGTCCTTGCGCAGAGATTACCGTACAAGGCGAGTCCGGTGGAGACAAGCAGCAATCTACAATATGAAGCTGATCGATGGATTTCGCTCCTGGAGGCGGGTCGATGGCGATTGCAGGGTCTGGTGGATGCCTTACCCATAACAGCCAAAACCTAGCCAGAGGTCGAAGGGGGAGCGGCCTCGGGACTGGAGCAATGGGTGAAGGACATGACTCAGTCTATTATGGAGATCATTTGGGAAGCTGAGGAGGGGGGCCAGACCCACGTTTAGACACTCACATCGACTGGGGGCATGTCGACATTCTGATGGAGAGATACTATGAGCTTTTCGACGAGGCTCAAGTCCAGCGAACTGCGTTGGAGAAGTGTGTACAAGAGGGGCTCGTCGGGTATGATGATAAGGCTCCACGACAGACTGCGACGGTTGAAACAAAGATTACAACAATGTCAACTATTGATAAGGCGATGATTACATCAGCATCTAAGGCACTCACGACGATAGCATCAGCAACATCGATCAGACCGATAGAGCCTGTGATTACGACACTGACATCTGCATACGACATCAATTTCGACAATAACGATTACACCAACTACACCAGCACTGAGCACGACGGTGGTATGGAAGGTGAGATTCTGAGGTCGTGCGGGCTTGGGAGCGATAGCAACTATACCAACACCAATGAAGATAACGATACTGCCAGGGAAAATGACAACAACAACAACAATAATAACAACAACATCGAAGCTGTGGTAAGTGCGACAGGCTATTCTCTTTCCCACTCCCTGCCTCCCCTCTTGTCTTCCTTCTTTCGCTCATCCGGTGCGGAAGGGGGAGAGGGCCATGGGGATTGGTTGATTGGTAAACTGGGAGGGGGTGTGCGGGGACAACGACTGGCCAACAACATCGATGCTGTGGTAAGTGCGACAGGCTATTCTCTTTCCCACCCCCGGCCTCCCCTCTTCTCTTCCTTCTCTTGCTCATCTGGGGTTGACTGGGGAGAGGGCCGTGGGGATTGGTTGATTGTTGAGGTGGGAGGGGGTCGGCGGGGACAACGATTGGGGCGATGGCGCAAAGGGGTAGGATAGTGAATGCCAGGATGCCAGATCGGATAGGGGTGCAGGTGTTAGGATGGCTCTACGGAATCTGAATCGGGTCAAGTGGCCACAGGGGCTGTTTTTCTGACTGATTTGACCCCTGCCACATGGGTATTGTGATCTGGCCTTTTTCCAAATTTCCCTACTCGAGCACAAGTGGCAGGGGGTGTCGTGGGGCCCGGCACCGGAGCTGTCTGTTTAATTGTTTTGAGCCCTGCCAAGTGGGTATTACGATTTTATCCTTTTTCTCTCCGGTGGGCACACACCCTCTGGCTATAAACATGGGTCTCCGCCACGTGGCTGGGCAGGAGGTGTAGTGGTGTTACGCACCAGGGCTGAGTATGTGTATTCCGTTTTTGAATTTTCTGCAACAGACTTGAATAGTGCTTTCCCCACTTGAGTGGTCAGTGGCTAATTAGAATCCTGGGGGGAAGCTCATCGTGACTATCGACAATATAAACAGGGGTTTCCGCCACGTGGCAGGGCAGGAGGCGTAGTGGCGTTAAGCACCAGGACTGAGTATGCGATAGATTCCCTTCCTGCCACATGGGTTTCCGCCACGTGGCTGGGCAGGAGGTGTAGTGCAGTTACGCACCAGGGCTGAGCATGTGATAGATTCCTTTCCTGCCACATGGCTATTCCGTTTTGAATTTTCTGCAACAGACTTGAATAGTGCTTTCCCCACTTGAGTGGTCAGTGGCTAATTAGAATCCTGGGGGGAAGCTCATCGGAACTATCGACAATATGAACATGGGTTTCCGCCACGTGGCAGGGCAGGAGACGTAGTGGTGGTACGCACCAGGGCTGAGTATGTGATAGATTCCTTTTCTGCCACGTGACTATTCCGGTTTGAATTTTCTGCAACAGACTTGAATAGAGCTTTCCCCACTTGAGTGGTCAGTGGCTAATTAGAACCCTGGGGGGAAGCTCATCGTGACTATTGACAAACTGCTGTAGATGATTGAGGAGTCGAGTAGGGCAGAGTCTGATTCAGCACATTGGGGGGTTAATCCTTCCCTACTGGGGGAGCAATCAATGCCCCGTGATTTTACTATATTCGTGGTAGACAGGGAAGCTGTCTCCAGGGGAGCAGCGGCTGAGGCTCTTCCAGCCCTAATGGGAAGAGGCGTGTGGTTAAGTGTTGTAATCAAATTCATAATTGGAGCCTTGGGCACTGGGCCCTTAAAAAAATAAAAAAAAAATAAAAAAAAAAGAATTTAGGATTCCCCAGGCAAAAAATCCTAAAATTTTTAGTAGCCCCGGACCTACTGAAAAATTTAGGAAACCGCGTTTGGCGGCGTCGCGTGCATGGCACCGCCGTCTCGGACTCCGTGGTGCAGAAGTTGTCCGTCGGGCCACGGGGTCGGACATCGGAGGCATTTGGCGGGCCGAGGGGGGCAACGCCAGCGGTAGCCGTTGGCGGGTGGGGTGGAGCGCGGAGGGCGAGCGAGGTTGCCTTGTCGTCCGTAGTCGACCGTTGTCTGGCAGAGAACCGGCGGCAGGTCAGGGCGGAGTAGGATCTTGCACGGTTGTCCATCAACGACGGTACGACCCATCGTTGTATAACCATCTACCACCACACGAGCAGCCGCTGCCCCCGTCGGACGAGGAACCGGAGACGGAGGAACTCACGACGTTACCTTTGGGCAGTGGGTCGACGCAGATGTGGTCGTAGACGGTGGCAGTCGGCGAGTCCTGGCGCGACGCGGGTGGCGAGTTCACGTCCCTCCTGCACGAAGGCTTGGAAGATGACGACGACGGGTAGGTCGATCTGAGGTTCGGCTTGTCGTCCGGCGGTGCGACGACAGCGACCCGTACCAGGGTTGTCAGGCGGGGGCCCCCGGGGGCAAAGCCGGGGTAGGGGTTTGACCCCCGGACCCCCGCTGCAGGGTACCCCGGGCTCATGAGGGTGGGGTGTAGCCCCGGGGGGGGGCCGAGGTTGGGCCAAAACTGCAATATTGCAGTTTGGCCCAGGGGGTGCAGGCTGCGGCTGCGCACCCCCCTGTATTTTTTATTTATTTATTTTTTTTTGTTTTTGATTTTTTTTTTT